GAACGGTTGACTTTGGCGGGAAACGGGGAGGCTGAATCGCTCGCAGGCCTCGCCAGCGAACCACGAAGTACCCTCGTGTTTGGTGTTTGCTTGCTGTTTGGTGGGAGTGCTGAGGTGGCGTCAGAGGTTGTGGAGGAAGGCAGCAAATCTGGTTAAAGTAGGAAAAAGCATCCTTCCAGATGGATGGGTGGGAGGGAGAGAGGGAGGGAACAAGTAGTAGTCCGAAGTCTCAGACCAGGCACCACCTGAAGGCTGCTCTCCCACAAGCCCTTTGGACTCAGGATGAGGTGGTAAATAAAAGGTGCAGAGATCGTCTGGTGTCAGCTGTGCTCTTCTCTCTTCAATTGCAGCACCTGGGGCCCAATTTTATTTATTTGCCCCTAAATAGTCTCAATTAATTTACATACAGATTCAGAAATTCAGTATATTAAAATTTATCAGAATATTACTTTCCCTCATCTGTGAAAATCAACTCACTTTCAGCTGAAAATACAAGTATGAAGTTTGTGTTTTCCTTGTAGATGGCCAAATCAGAAGCTCGAGAAAAAAACTATGATAACATGGTAAAGATGGTGGAAGACCTGAACAAGGACTTAGAAAAACTTCTGGAAGAAATGGAAAAACTATCAGGTATTGTTTTTTACTGAGAATGATATGGATTTGTCTGCTGGAAGTTGGAAGACACTGGAGCTTTTTTTAAGGTATATTTATTACTGTAAACATAGCTGTGCAATAGAAATGGAATCTTAAATGGAAAAAAAAAGCCTGCAATCAACTAATATCTTAATGTTCTCAAGTGAGGAAAAGTGTACAGATAATCTTTAAGTGGCTCATAATTGAAAATTAACAGGGCGCTCAGTTCTAAGTGGTGGCAGGGAATAGAATTAAGGCATTTAATTTACAATCATTAAAATGTAATATATAAAACAAAATTTACTTTGGAAAAATGGTGAAATGAATTTTCAGGTCAGTGTATGGCATACTTATTCAACTAGAATAAAGTTTTACCTGCAAATTTACTTTTAGTTCTTTATGTATGGAGAACTGCAGCAATTCTCTCAGCAATTGTGTGCAACTACCAAGAATAAACTGAAATAATTAAACTGTGCAATTAACTACAACTCATGAGTGCTTTTGAGAAAATTATTCAATTTACATCAGATTTTATGTCAATTTATGGTAGAATGAGAGGAAAATATGAAACAATTGCTAAAATTACTTGCTTAGCTCTGTTATATATACATTTTTTTCAGACTATATCTCCTGATGTAGCTTATTCTTTAAATGTTGGATCACTTTGTTGTGGCCTTCTAGTTTTCATTTCCTTGTCTAACACTAGTCTTCTGCTTGTCCCAGGTCTTGAAACAAAATTATTTGATTTGGTTTATTTTACAATACTCTTTTCCACCTTTCTTTTTGATTGCCTGTTCTATTATTTTCAGGTAACGGCATCTGTCTCCTATTTCTAATTTGTATCAGCAATAAATATTTCATTTTGAAGTGTTTTGAGACTATAATAAATAGTCTCAAATAAAAAACAATGGACATCCATTTAAAAAAACTAAATTTAGTATTATTGTGGGCTGGTGAGCTATTGCCTACTAGTTACTGTATAGCAGGCCTGCTCAGACATAACTTTGAACTGTTTCAACCGTTTGCACTGTATTTGACATCATTAATGTCCTTTTAACATCTATTGAATGTGCTTTTTTTTAATAGCTACGTTGCTGTTTCGGCAGTATCTATTGGGTTTTTGCGTGTCTGTTTTTGTAGTGCAAGCAACCTGGATGGCATATGACATGGTAGTAATGCGTACAAACCCAGACCTGGCCAACTCTATGAGGCGACTGGAAGATGCCTTTCTGAATTGCAAAGAGGAGATGGAGAAGAAGTGGCAAGAGGTGCTAAGGGAATCTAAAGGTGAAGAGCAAAAAAATGAATAAATAGGTTTCAATCATGTTGGCAGAACTAAGTCCCTTGGAAATTTTTTTTTTTTTTTGCTTCCCCGTCCTGAAGGATTCAAACTCCATCGAAAATGGATTTTCTTTTTGAGAACTGAACATATAGCTGTATCTATTGTTGTATTTTGATGAGTAGATGTATAAGTGCTTTTGAAGCTGAAAGGTAATAATACATCTATTTTATTATACTTATTAGTAGCTCTTGGAGCATTTGTGTTTATGCAACTTAGTTGTATTCTGTGGTGTTTTTCCTGAAATATCCTACTCACTTTGTAGTATACATGTGTACATGGAATTCTTTGTCCCCTTCCAAAAGTAATTTTTTTTTGGTGCGTTGGACCACTGCAGTTGTATTACACTAGCATATGCCTTTCAAGAAAAAAAACAAAGAACAACTGATTTTCCAAATGAAAAACAGCCAAAATTCTAGATTTGCACATTAATCTGAGTTACTTGGAGGGAGTATTACAGAATTTGATTATTTAGATAACATACCTGTGCTAGTTTCATTTTGTTTCCACAGATTTTAAGCATTTCTTTAGAATGCTTTTTTCCAGAAGGATCCTTCCATCTTAATCCACCTGGATTGTTTACAATCACATATTATACAGTAGTGTACAATACAATCAACACCAATATATGATCACTACTGAAACCACAGCAATGCAGTCTGCGATACTGCTGCAGAAACCAGGCTAAACATACTCTGAAACAATCTTCTATGTTCACACTGTGCAGGGAGTACTAGAAGAGAAAGAAAAGAAATGACTTTTTGTCAAGATACAGATTAAGAGCACCACATTATGGCATGCATGTATGGCATAAATGAGACACTCAACCTCACACAGAACAACCTACTATGTTTTGAGGAAAAGGAACTCCCCTTTCATTAAAATCAGATTCTTTAAAAAGTTTATTTCTAATAAGCACCACATAGCAAGTGATGATACCACAATCGCCTTTGAAGGGTATTTCAGGATTTAAGTCACATCTAGATGATCTGCTAAAAACCCTTCTTAATTGATAAGTACTTCCTTGAGACTAGTTATCTCAATTCACAAGAAAAAATGTTTTTATATTATGACACAAGAAACAACTAACTAATTTCACCATTTTCATTTGCCTTCATTCCTGACACAGTTAGTTTGTAGTGGTAGAGTAGCATAAGGAAACTTGCAATCTGAATATTCTCTGGAGGAGTTTAATGGCATACTGTCACTTTGGTAACTTTCCACAATTCTGTATTGTTTTCATTCTTTAATTCTGTACTAAAAATAAATGCCTTTGAAGAAACACTGTGCAATTTTTCTTGACCTTTGACCATTAGGATGTAAGTACTGAATGCTGGCTGCAGATTTGCAAAGTACCTCACTTTCTATTTCAGGATTTAAATGGAGTTGCCAGTGTTACAAAAGAACAAAAGGATCCAGCAGTCTTTTAATTAATTAAGGACTCCTATGTGATATGCAGTTAAGTTTTTATCTGCAGACCTTCTCTCAACTTTCATTAAGTTGAATCCAATTTCCTGTTACTGGAACATTACACTGAATTATCTCTCACTGCTTCTCCAAGGCCACAAATTACAGAAAGTGATTATATGAAAGAAGGCATCTAGCAATGTTATTTTCAGTCCAACTTTATCACAATTTCTTTCCAAGTCTTGGAAAACATTTTTTTTTTCCCTATATAACTATATAAGACATATAAGACTATATAAGTCTTTTCTATATAATAGAGAAGATAATTTAAATTTCTTCCTTATCAAGAAGCAGAAAAGCAGTAGGCTACTAACCCTAGGCCACAAATTTGTTTTCTAGGGTAGGTACTGAAACTGACATTCTAGATCTGGCCTCTGTAAAAGAGCAGAACAAGTTTCAGAGAAGGAATGTTGGGGGATATCTGTGAATTATTTTTCTGTATCACCTTTTTCTTACTCTAATTTTTTTTCACTCAGGTTTCACATGACAAATGTTAACCCTTACCTGTAGTAAGCAGCAGGAACAGAGATTTGGAATAAAACACTAAACTTGCTGTCGGACTACAGCATTTGCTTTGTCAAGATGCTGCAGGCAAAGATGGTCAAAGAGCAGACCATGTCCATCTCTTCCTTTCCTAGCTTTCCTTCTCAGCCACACAATGTCATCCAGAAAAGAGGCAGGGGAATGCACGAGGGTAGGAGCAGCCTATATTCCTTGAAATACTTTATGGAAGGATGACTATACTTCCCTTTTTTTCTTTATTCTTTTTTAAAAATAATATGGGTTTATTTCGAGGGGAGTAAGGTATTACACAGAGAACCAAAGTGTGGGGAGTGGGTATTTTGTTTAATAAGTAGTGAGAAGCATGGAAACTTCAGGTGCTTGCTAGTACTTTAGCCTTGTAACAGGAATCAAGAGAGCCTCCACTAAAATATATCAGCTTCCTGGAAGAGGGGTGTGCAAATTTTCAATTAAAAAAATAATGATGAGGAGCAACAGCTCCATCTAGTGCTAACATAACCTAAAGCTATAAGAGCAACTAGAATTGCTGAATTGATCTGTTTATAGAAATCCTCCATAGTGGATAATTAACAATAAGAAGTACCAGTGTCTATTTAACTTTATGTGCACCTAATGAACTCTACAGTTAATGAACTGTAGTTAAGGGAAAACATGCTTTTGCACAACAGCTACAAAAGCAAGATAAGGTAGCACTGCCACTCTGCATGCCCATATACACTTTGTAGAAGGTATTCTGGTTCTTCAGAATCCTTTAGAATTCTGTTTCTACACACTTAAGTCTTAAGAGATTAAGAAGCAAGTCATAGATTAGTTGAAATGTTCATTTTCCTTTATGCAGAAAGCTAAACAGACACTGAAATCTGCATTCACTCTGATTCAGCTAACAAAGATAAATAGCTTAAAATATTTTATTTGCACAGGTAGAGAACAGTTTTAAAAGGAAGTGTGTGAAGTTCAGTACTAATTTAAAGGATGGATCACTTAAACAGCTACTGAGAACAGATGATCTGATGTTTAACATCAAAATACATGTTACTGTTAAAAGAACTGCTATAGATCTTAGTTACATCTAAGCTGTCTGCAAGGCAAGAGACTGATGCCCAAGAAATGAATCCTCCAGAGCCTGCAAACAGCCCCAAGGTAACAGGCCTAAAAATGCTGGCCTAGAGTAGCTCTGATCACATACTTTAAAGCTGTTTAGATTTTGTTTGTAAAGAACACGCAGATGTGCAGCTTGTGTTCTTGAAGACTGGCCCCTATTCAAGCTATCTCACAGAGACTAGAATGTGAATTCACACTCCCTAGCTGTTTCACATGTTGATTGACAGTTATTTCAAGATCTCAGAAAGGGTAAAGAAGATGGAGTGTCTAATACCAGTGTGTATAAACACAAGCATTAAGATAACTAGCTTGAGGGTGGGCAAAAAACAGAGTTTTAGAAACTGACACAGGTAAAAGTTTACTTGTAAAACCCATTCCCTTCATGGCAAGATTTAGTTATCACCAGTATTCTGACAATGTTTTTTTTCCCTTATGCTGTCTGCTCCAATTACGCACTATTGTGAAATGATTTTTTAAATATACTGTATTTAAAATGTGATATGTAATACATTTCAAATGTATTTATACAGCAGTATATACTATATGCAGAAATGAGCTAAGAGGATATTTTCTCATTTTTCTGCTTCCATAACTATTTTCTGCCTTACTTTCCTTGATCTTCTCCTAAGACTCAAAATTTGGATCACTGGAACAAACGCGCGTGCACACACACACACCGAGGCAGTAAGGTTGCAAGGCTGTGAGATGACAGTTTTACACATGGACAAAGTTCTGCTGATAACTGGGGGATTCTCTGTGAATTTTTAGAAAGTCAAGTAGTGAATAGTTTAAATATAAAATCAAACTACTCTCCAAATATTTTAAGATCATTTGTTTTTTAAATGCAGTCCCAAAGCTATAAATTGCTTAGCTCTCACAGAACTGCAGTAGCACTAGTTATATGTAATTGCACTGTATTATGAAGAATATTTAAGAAATATTTGTGAGATTTAAAGGTCATGAAGAGCAGGTAAAACAGAACTTAAGGTCATGGGCAAAATTATGTAAGTAACACGCTTCTAATACACAATTTACTAGACTGACATTGTGCACAAAACCCATAGAACACAGATCTTTTAACCTCTAGAAAAAAACATAAGATTGCTACAGGACACTGCACAAGCTTTATTTTGACTTTTAGCACTTGACTTATGTTACTTCACATGTTAAAAGAGCAGGGAAGTTGCATGTTTGACTGGGCTGGGTTATGGCACAAAGTGTCAGGTTATCTGAGCTAATATTGTATTTGTCTTAACTTTTAACTTGCAAAAATTTGTTGAGAACAGACTTTTTTGTACTACGAACACATACTTTGTGAACAATCTCCTTAAGGAATTCAGGTAAAAGACTGATCAGTTCTAAAGACCTAATCAATGCCATGAAAGTTACTATTTACAAGTCAAATTCAGGCTAATATGTTTTGAGGAATGATACATTTCAACAGTAGTCATAAAATGTGAAGCTCTAAAGACAAACTACTCTGTAGGTCTTTCCCAAAAGATTTTAAAATCTTAAGATGCTGATGAGATGACAATATGAATAATTCTCTGCCACCAGATATTAAATACAGTTGTACTTCATCACTATTTTAAATAGCATAAAATGAAGAATTCAAGCTGTCACTTCTGAGAACTTAATAAATAAGTGGTGATATTTCTATGACCCTTACTAAAGGAACACAAATATTCAACTCACTGCTTTACTGGACTTTACATAATGAGGCTTCTTCCCCCTTCTCCCCTCCATTATTCCCATCCCCATCAAGTATGTACCGGCATCTCAAAGCAGATACTTTCTTGCTACAAACCCATACTGATGCTGAAGGCTAGAAACTTGCCCTCAAACTAGCATGGAAAATAGCTTCTAGGACCAATTCTGAAGTCAGACTCAGAAATTGGATTTTCTTAGAAGAAAAAGAAAATCCCCCTCCCCGCCCTGCACACAAGCAACTGAATGGAACTTAAATAGCCTTTCATCTTCACTAGATATTTCCTAGAAAATTCTTGCAAATTAAGGGTTTGAAGAGCACTAGTCCAGGGCCATTATGTTTTTTGGAACTCCTTCTATACAGATCACATGCAAGTCCATTCAATTTTTTCCAGTACAGATCTCAATTATGTGCTACTAAACTGCACACATGAAATCATGCATTTGGCATGCCCTGCCAACTCTAAGATCAAATACGATATTACAAACACTTTATTTTCAGAGGTTTTGGAACTACAGTCAGAAAAACCTGCGTCACTTCCATTTGTGTACAAACACCCAATAAAAGTAGGTGAAAAGGGATGCACATGCATCCAGCATTATGTAGTGTAGAAGTTTGCAGAATGAATATTTCTGTATCTTATGACCACAGTTAAATTAGTTTAAGTATTAGTGCATACAGGTAATGGCTTAGAGAATTTTCCATTCTTTTTCCTCCCAAAAATATTGGGACAGCAAGTATTTTTGTGGCTGTGTAATAGTGGACCATGTAACACTTACAAGCAAAGTGTCTACAACCAGACTATTACAAAAATATACTGCAAAATTATTACACAGCTACTATAAATGCCTATAAAAAACAAAGTGATGCTCAAATAAGAGAGCAAACACATCAAAGAGATCAGGGAACTGGGTTGATAAAAAGACGTACTAGTTACTTACAAATACTTGTAGGAAGCCTAAAAAACAAAACTAAGCACTCAAACATTGCTCAAAACACATAAGCAACAGTATTGTTGATACACAAGCACAAGAGTTTAGTTGACTCATTACTAAGCACCAATTTGATTTTCTTTCAGCTAAAGCTCAGCTTGCACAAAGGAACAAGGAGCATAGCAAAGAGCAGGCCCAATCTCTGTGCTCCATTTGGGACATCTAAGGACTAGCTTTAGTATATATTTTGGCCTGCTAAAAAAGTTCTTACGTATTCCCCCACCTAAACTTCTATCTCAATTGTGTACTCTATGCAAAGATTCATTTCCTACTATCACCAAAGGAGTAAGTTACTTGAAACTGGATATTAGGAAACTACTTCTCTCCTTCAATTTCACCTTTTATAGAGGTAACTAGTTATGGGTGCTCTCACTGAATCAACCTGATCAATGGCATTTTTGCAGCAACTAAAAGGACAGGAGAGGAAGAAAAGGACCAACAGTCAAGTAGTGCACTGAATCTGGAAAAATGAAAACAGAAGATATCCTAATCAACAAAACAGGATGAAAGTAGAACTATCCCAAGCATATGTACATAAGTAAGGAAACATATGGAATCACATCACGGGGAAACCCTCATGTCCTTCTTAAGGACAGCACACCAAGGTGCCTCACTGAAGTGTCAGATTCACATCTGTCATGCATCCCTGTGCAAACAGGAAGAATTAGAAAACTGTACTCAACTATAGGGCTACAAATTCACCGGGATGACGGTGGGACAACTCACAACTGATCGAGTATCACATTATCAGCACATCTTCCCTAATCTATATCTTGGCAGATCTGGTGCTGAAACTTAGCTGTGTCACAACAGTTTATATGCAAGTACACTTTCAGAACTGCTGTACAAATGATCCAGTGCTACAATAACAGGTTATGTTACATAGGCCAGTGTCACAGTAAATTCAGAAGTCTGTAAAGGAGTTGGAGGCATTCTCCTTCTATTACAAAATTCTGCAATTTTCACTTTACATTTCATTAAAATTTCTTAATTTATTTCCAAAGCAATGAGGAACTCCCTGATAAAGCTAGCAGTAAGTGCATGACTGCAGCTCATGCATTGCTATGCTTCCTGCCAGGAGTTAACAACAGGATTCAAGAGAATAGAATAATATCATTCCTTACCTTGGCTGGAAGGTGAAAGGGAACTACAGAAGGAAGTGCTTTGCTTTGGAGCCCATCTGACGCTGCGTCTCCTTACCTCACTTAGTATTTCTTGAGGAGTAACGTGTGTGTGGTATGCAGAAAACCTGATGTGATTTTTGGTTATAAAGCAAACAGTGTTCAAGAACAAGGAAACCAGAAGAGACAACAGTAACTACCCTTCATAGATCTCTCTACTCTCACACTTAGTCCTATGTATTTACAGTTATACAGTGCTACTCCATATCAAGATTGCTTATATGAAGATTTATTCAGTAAAGGCTGGTTAGAGATCAAGTAGCTAAGGAAAAGTGTTTTAGGAAAACTAATATGAAATCTAAGATTCAGATAACAGCAATGGCAAGAGAAAAATGTGAAAAACAGTGGACTAGAGAAAAATAGCATGCAAGACTGCTGACAAAAGCACCCACATTCAACAGTTGAAAACAGGTCTGCAAGACATTCCAGATTTAGGGAAGAACTTTAAAAACAAAGTGTGAGTGTCAAGCTTTTAGCAGTCTTCACAAGCAAAATGGCACAGGTACAGGGATACTACTGGTTTCAAATACAGGCAGTAGTTATTAGCCCCTTCAGTCTTCCTGCATTTGAAATTGAAGCCAGAATGCAGTTGCAGTTAACTTGGTTGTCTTTTTGAATGGTAAGGAATCCCAAAGATTGACGTCCAATGTTTAGATGATACAAAGTTTAGCAAAACAGATAGGGAAAGCAATATCCCAATAAGCCACTTGGAATCCCCTAACTTCAGCTGCAAAGTAACAGAAAAAACACCTTTGGTGAACTACAGAATCAGAGAGTAGTGTGAGTTATTGCTGTGCTGCAATCTAGAATATCTTTGTATAAGACATTCATAAGTTCAGCCATATCCTTATAATTTAAACCAGCTACCTTGGTAAGTGCGGAAACAGCAAAACAGTAATTCACAGTTCACAATTTTATATGTAAACATAAAGACCCCACACTCTTAGATTGTTTGCTTTTTTGGTACTTGAAATTACTTTTATTTGTGAGGAACATCACCCATGCTGCAGTTTCAAATAGATCTTACTAAGGAAAGCAGAAGTTTCTCCTCCCTGTGCCTGGCAGTGAGCAGGACTGGCACATAAAAACAACTCATCACACCTGGGAGGTTTAGCACCAGCATCCAATAAAAAAAAGTATTCAACTTCAATTTCAGTTCTTTTCTCCCGCCTTTTCAATTTGATATTAAAAGAAAAAAAAATGAAAAAAAATCAATAGTAGCAAAACACTGAAATTCTTAATAAAAACAACAACACAAAAAAAAAGGAACAAGGAAGAGGAAAGGTAGGCAGGGAGGAAGGGAAGGAAGGTACTCTTTGAATCTCACTTTCTTCTTGCATTTATCTTGCAGGCATTTTGTGGATCTCAGCTGCTGGTGAATTTTCTCTTCCTCAAGTTCCAGTATCTTGAATTTTTATCACTGTTGACAGTTTATTGCTTGAATGTTTCTTTGGTGTTATATTTTCAGTTGCATTTTAGTATACCTGTAGAAGAGACAAATCATAACATAGTTTACTTGAGGTTTAATTTCTGCAGTGAAATAAAAATACAAGAAACACTAGACTAGAGAGAAAGAAAGCAACCATCAATGGGTGGGATTTCAGATGATGACCGAGTTACAACAAATTGGCAGGATAAACCAAGTCCACCTACAAGTAAGGACAAAGAGCTCTTTGCATAGGATTACAGTATCGTCCTGACTTAAAACACCACCAGCTCATCACCAGATGCCAGTAAGGAGCACCTCTTTAAAAGAGGTTAGACAGATGTAGCAAAATCATCTACAGATATTTACTCTGTGAGTAATACAAAGAGACAAAAAAAAAAAGGAAGAAGTTAGAACAGTTCCTTGAGTTGCCTATATAGGACTCAAAAGTCATTGCAACTATCTAATGTATTGAGATATGGAGCCAGATAGATGTTCCAAGTCCTAAAGGCATACATAATGGTGTTTCAGTTTGAGAACAGGATCCATCTATATCACTTACCTGAAGGACTGTAAAGGTGTCTAGGGGAGTTGGACATTACTCAGCACCACTCTGCTCAGTCACTGGAGCAGGATTTCCAGCAGGTGTTTCAGTCACTTTTGTCTGAGGCACAATAAAATTATATTACCTCCAAATCCTTTCTCTATTCAGTAAGTAGTGGTGTCACTATTACCCAGCTTTAAAATAATCAAGGAAGTATTGTCTGAGAATTCATCTAACTGTAGAGAACACAAAGTTTAAGCATTACATAACAAGTTTATCTCTGTATACTTTTTTCAAAATATCTCCAATATGGAGGGATCCCCTCAAGTGAAGTTCAATGTAGAATAAGAGGTTTCCCTCGTTAAAATCTGTGTTTGAAACTAGGTCACTGAAACAAGCTGTTTTAAGCACATCAATAAAACGAATCTGGAAATTTCAAGTCTTCCTCTTAGCTTGGAGATTGCCTGGGGTAACAGGAAAAACATTAGTCCCCATCTGCTTCAGAAACATTAGTTAAAAACTGATCCCTAGTTAAGAACTATCCAGAAGTTATTCTCATGCCACTGCTGTTTAATGTTCTATTTAAGGAAAGGTGCCCATTCTCCAACAAGGTCGTAAGGAACAGGCAATGAAAACAAATTACCTTCACCACAAAGATAATGGAGATAAGCACCAGACTCTTATAGTACACTAAACAGTACACTTGAGATACATTCCCATTCTCCTCCCAAGCCCCCAACACAAGGGCAGAGTGTCTCAAATGTTATACCAGTCAACCTCAGCTTCGAAGCAAGTCTCTGCTGGGAACTTACTTACCTCTTTCCCATCCTGAGCTGGAGAACTGGGTGGACGAGGTCGACGACGGTAGTTATATGGGCGTCGGTACCCACGGCGAAGGGGCTGCTGACTTGTAGCACTGGTCTCATGCTGGTTCTCTTTTTCAGCCTCTCCAGTCACCTGCACAGGGCGAGGACGTGGGGGCCCCCTGAAGAGGTGGAAAAATACGTATTGGGTACATGAGAAGTTTGAGGTTTAAAACACTTTACTAACTTTGGACCAGCAAAAGCCTCTCTAGCCCAGCAAGTTCTATGTTTAGTAGATCTGACTGACAGCAAACCACACCTTGGAAATTTAGCTGCCATGAAGTTGGAATGAAGAGCTATTTTTCTGGGATATATGATAAGCTGGGATCTCTTCACTTTGTCAGTATACTCTGTAAATTCTATAATAAAGGGGAACTGAGGTAATTTAAATTATTGGTTGGAAGAATTACTGGCTGCAGCTAGTAGAAGCTGCACTGGCCAACTCCGACCAATTAGCCTTGGCCTAGCTGTATGTGAAGTCCAGTCCTATCCATAATTAAGTGGTATAATCCCTTGGATCCCTTGTTCTATTTATCAGCTCCTTCCTGGATCTCCCTTGACTCTAAGGTAAGAGATTATATTGCCCCCTCAGCCATTAAAAAAGTTACATACAACGTGCAACAGCTCACTTTCTACATAAACATTATGTTTAAAAAGTGTCAAAACAGAAAATAAGCAGTTACTGTCATCATTGTCTAATTCCTATTAGCTCACTTAATTTACACTTGTCTGAGATCTAAATTGGTTTTGGGGCTAAAGAAGTTTAGCAGGAAAGTATGCTGTCATTGGATTTAGTGCATAGAGATGTATACAATACCTATCTCTTAACTTACACAGAAACACATTAAGCTATGTTATTTCTTACAGGAAAGAAACACCAAAAATGAGAAAAAATCCTGTTTGTCATGAACTACCCAGTTTGCAGTTCACCCATGTAACAGGGACAGAATTGAGATGTCACATTACACTTGTTGTACTGCTATGCCTGACTAACCAACTACCTTGTTTCTCAAGGATTTACCTGCAAGTAGAACATCCACATGATACAACACTGCACACTGACTAGAACTTGAACTGGTGCCATTTGTTTTAATGTTACTGCACCTAAGCTAATGAACACTGTCTAGAATTAAATATACTGACCTCAAGCCCCTACAAACATCAGTTTCCACTATTTTAGTTACCAGAAGCAGCACAAGTACTACAGATAGAAGAGCTTAGATGAAGTGCTAGAAATCTTATAGTTCTAGATTAAATCTTCAGAAGTCTGTCAATTTTATTGTGCAGAGAAAATGTTGTCATTAAGTACAGCCTTATAATTTCTACAGAAGTTAATTTATTGTCCTTGTAATGGTATTTACCCCTTCTTGTTAGTTTTCAATTAATATGCATACAAAAAATGGGGATTCTGCCCATTTCAGAGTTCATTTCTCCAAATTCAGACTTAACCTCAATGAGGTGTATAGCAAGTGACAGACTGAGCAATACAATTCATCTCCTTGAGAAGAGAGGCCATGATACTTCACACAAGGCAGTAATGTGAATTATGGTTTCTCCTTAAAGGAGATAAGATCTCCAACAGTATGAAAGCCTGAAACTCAGCCTTTGACTGTTACGTCTGCAATGAGTTCTTAAGCCATAGAATTGTTTCCTTGATGTAAAGGGCAGAGGCTTGATTGGCCATGTTAGAATTATGACCAGAAGAAAGCACCAGTTTTACTTAACAGTCTATTGAGTCTTCAAGGGTCTGTTTAGCCCAGTTTTATGAATCCTAGGGCACAGTAACAACAGGAAAACATGTATTATTTCCCCTAAGTAGTTTCCCACACTCCAACTATCTTCCAGTTTTTCTCAGGGAATTTCCTGAGACAGCTCGCCCATATAATAATACCATAACAGTGTTCTTTCAGCTATTTGAACAGTCTCTCTTTGAAGTCATGCAAGTTTAACACCCAACATCTGGCAACAAAAGCTCTGGAAGTTTACTACCTCTTATATGCATAGCAATCTCCTCTTGTTTTGCAGCCTGTCTCCCACTGTCTTCATCCGATACCTCTTCTCCTTACTGCTCCTTAGCTTTGCACTTTTTCCCTCTTCAGTTATTTGATGAGTTTTATGCTTTCTGGGAGCTCTCTAGCTTCTTTAGCACCTGTCTTCTAAAGTATTAGAAAGAATAACTCCAATAATCCCCACATTTTATTATTTCCAAAACAAAGCCATTGTTAGTATTAGGTTCCATGAGGTAACCTATTTTAACTGTTAGCAATCTCCTTTGCTTGCATAAGATATTACCACATTACTACAAAATTGCCCTCTGATTCTCTATAAGAAATAGGACATGACTTCAGTTCTTCCTGCATAATAAGTAGGATTTCTCATGCATCTACAAATTGCATCAGTGCTTAGAACAAAGCCTGAACAGCAAGAGGCACCTCTGTGCCTGCATGTGACACATGGACTGAACAAGGCTGGAGGCAAACCTGCACACATTTAATTGAGCACTGAGGTACAAACTACTGGCTTCAGTCCACAGGGGAGGCAACAAAGTGGACCCTGCCTCTGTGATACTGGATCTACCTGTCCCTGATCAAGAGGCATTTACATTCAATACATGTCCAAGACGTAAGAGACCACTGCTTGAAAGGCAAGGAACCTGCAAGCCACTTTAATACACTGCTTAACTTCTTTTTTTTCTCCCCCTCTCCTAAAGAGTACTTTCTTAATCTATTTCTGAATTTGAGTAACATCACACTGACCTTTGCCCTGGCTTCTTTACTCCTGGGGCCTTCCTTTCTCCAAAAAGGCTGTATTATGTCATGGTACTTACCATCTAAACATAGCATTTTTACTATGTTTTACATTAGAACAATAGGGAATATAACTTTGCCCTGTTACCAGTTGTCCGTACAGATCACATAAATATCCAAATACAATGAAGAACAAAGGAAACAGGCAAACCTGCGATAGCGGGGACGATAGGTCGGATTCCTATGGGCTTGTTGATGAAGTTGTCCTCCTTCTGCAACCCCATCCTTCAGTTCTCCTTCACCACCCTCAAAGAAAATGGAAGATAGACAAAGATAAAGCATAATTTCAAAGGTAGTACATTAACCATAGAGATCAATACCTGAATGTCAGATTAAACAGAACAATAAGTCAGTACAAAAATGCAAGCATACCTGGTAAGCAGAAATCAGGTCATCAGAAGGTTTTTGTTTTGGCAAATAGAATAGTAGGAAAGAACACAAACCAACAATGATGCTCTTGTTCCTCATGGTAGCACTCAGTAAAGAAACTACTTGATGAGTCTTCTCCCTTCCTCCAGGAAAGGTCAGAAACTCTACAACAAATCTTAGATTAATGGCACTGACAGTGAAATTTTCTTTAAGAGATTAACTAAATTAACGAAGAGATAAACATTTGGAAAGCCTGAAGTACTGCAGGCTGTAACAAGAAGTCTTGGGGAACGGAACAGAATTCCCTGCCAAATATGGACAAGTCTTTTGTGAGATTAAAATCTTCTTCAAAAGCATTAGTATTTCAAAGATTCTTTCTTGCTTTCCAAGTTTCCTAAAGATGTGACCCAAAGACTCTTGATGTATTTCAAACTCTGAACCTATATACTGCTATTCTTAGCAATATGACAGGGCTAACTACAGAAGAAATCAGAACTCTATACTAAAAGGTATGTAAGTGGAAGCAGAATATCAGATTTTATAAAACTGATGGAGAAATATTCAAAGAAAGTTCCACTAAGTGCATAGTAGTAGCTATCTAACAGCTGTAGAAAAATCATTTGAAGCCCAAAACTCAAAGAAAGTTTAACTTAAGTTTATAACAAGATATTATTACCTATGTTCATTTTGGGATACCAATTTGTCTTCTATATGCAGAACAAATATCTTAAACTCAGAACCCTGGAAGCTTTGCTACCTCTATTTAAAGAGGAAAAGGAGGTGAAAAACGTATTAAACTATGAAGTTATTCTATTACCTGTTCCCTTCCTTTCCCTTCTTCCCTCCCCCTATCTTCACCCCACTCCCCCCAACCCCCTCCAAAAAAAAAAAAAGAAAAAACATATGCACCCCAACACACCACACCCCAAACTGAAAGATCTGAAAAAGGGAAGACAAACAATGAAAAACTCCAAAAAGTATGTTTCTCATAGGAAAAAAGAATTCTTTCAGCAAAACCAGCATTTCAATTCTCTATGACATCTAAGTGCCATAAAAGTGTAATCAAGTTTCTAGAAGGTCTTGTTTGAGAGATGATATCAGAAATTAAAAGATCAACAACCCAAAGGTAGAGAAGGGCATGTAATAAATATTATAAATATAATACAAACAATAAAAACATCATATCACCTATGGCCTTAGCAATGAGCATCAAATTCACAGCTTTTTAAATAGTAGTTACATTTTAGCATGTTTAACAGTACAGTTTGCTATATGCCACTGTCTCTACTCCTTGCCAAGTCTGCATTGACATCTCTAATAAAAACATGATGTTTCCCTCTGTTGTAGGGGAGAGGGACAGAAGGACCTTTCAATATGATTAAAATAGAATTGAATAAAGTATTATTTTGAGCAAGGCAGAAAAAGCAACGGAAGTTCTCTTATTCATTTCCAGATGAATGTCAACACACCAGTATTCTAGCTAGGTTTGGATTAAGCAGTTGGTTCAAAGCTATACATCACAAAGCAACAAAGCAACTAAATCGCTTAGAATAAAGTTATATTAGTTTCCTGACACTTCTACTGTATTACAAAAACTGAGCAGCTTCATACTCTTAAATATAGCACTCTTTTGTTGTGGAGCTACCACTCATCTAAGAACAAACATTCATGAGACTCCCAAAACTCAAGAAAGTTTACCATTAGCAACCCAAACTTAAGAAGTTTCAAGAAGGTCCTGTAAGACAGTTAACTAGAAATCCATCTGCAAATTACACAAAACTTTATTCCCCCATGACAGTGATCACAGCAGTGATTTTTATTATTCAGAAAATACTATGTGTATATACAGCTATGGCTCTAGGATATTGCAGCCTTCCTTCCGCTTCCGTACATGTAAAAAAGGAAGAGGAGGCTTCACTGAAGCAAAAAAAAAATTAGACATGCAATAACAACATAAAGAATACATAACTGATGTAGGTGACTAAAGGGATGTGTTACTATCTTCAGTTGATGCTTCACTCTGAACTGATCAGTAAAAGCAATTATGATGGATCACAGAAACAGTTACATGTCAAGGGATAACAAGAATATTCAGACAAGTATACTGAGTGGTTTCACTGACCTACAATAGGACAGCTTCAGGACAGTCCTGCACAACACTGCCCTTCTCACCTAATTGAAACAAAAAGAAAGGTTTTTTTTTTTTTTAAACTATCAAGTCTTTTGGGTACAAAAAAGTGACATTGACATGATTGCTCTTCTCATACTCCACCTTCTTGTAACAAATCTTCTGCAGTCTGAGTGCCATAATCAGATACAGACTCCTGCAAACTTAGGTACAGATATAGTCAGAACTACAATGCCAGAAGGCAAAAATATCTTAGCTTAGAGTAATTAATAACAAAATACAGCTGAAGTGTACTCTTTTAAGATCATGTTTTGCCAAAGTTTTTCACACTTTCCACTTTTAGAGATACTTTGAAGATCCTAACAGGTCAAATTCATTTAATTGCAGAATATGTTTTTCCCAAGTCTTGTTTTCTTCCATCTCTGACTTCTCACACATTCCAGCAGTATCTCCTCTACTGACATTGTTCTCAGTTGCAATGTCAGCTCCCAGTTGGCTCATTGTTCTTGCAGGAATAAGTTTTAGTACTTGCAGCATCCTTTCATTAGCCAAGCTGAACACCACAATTAGTATGCGCAAGAACACTGTTGCTAACCAGTCTCATGACAAGAATCATTAATATTTTTGTGGCCCAGAACAAAATTCTAACTGAAAAAAAATTCATCTTCAACATAAGGTTGCTCATCAGGGCCATAAATCTCAGCACAAATATGTGAAAGTAAGTGCAGCAAGAGCTCTTTTTAAGTCTGTCGTGATTGGAAACACCAATGGTATTGGTCCTGAAATTCACACGCTGAGCCACCAAAACAAGCAAAAAGCCTTTCCCTGAAGACATATAGGAAGAAGAATGCGATCAGCCATTCAGTAGCACATTCTACTGCCTAGTTTCCAGTACATACCAGCCTTCTCAAGGACTTAAAAAAATTTTTGAATCTCAGTAAAATATAATGAAATAGTGAGGTATAAATCTGTAAGTCTTCATTCTAACCTTTACTTTCCAAGTATTTCCTACCTATTAGGAGGTGATCACATCTGTATAATCCATCATAAAAATTTCTGTAGACACAAACTGAAGAGCATGACTCATCTGGTCTGTTTTAAACATCTGAGCTGTTAAACTGCAGGCCAAAAATGCTTATTTCTATTCACTGACTGATAATAGAATATGCAGAGCCTAGCACATATGCAAGTGATAAAACCTGGTCAAATGCACACAGCCTATGTTGCAAGAGTTCTAAATAATGATATTCTACTAAAGACTCAATTGCAATCAGCAAAATACTCACACAGCTGCTTTCAGAAGGGCAGAGCTCAGACAGCTGCTTAATATCACTACTGATTAATCTTAAGGGGGTAAGGGTAAAGGTGCTTGAATTAAGGGTAAGTGGTGCTTGGATTTCTCTCACTCCTCTTCCACAAGTTTTCTTCAGTGAAAACAGAGAAAGAAGAAAGCAGACTAAGTATCTGAAAGCACTCTTCAGTCTTTGTGTTCTACCCACATTTAAACAATTAACTGTGTTTAAAGAAAGACACTGCTACCCTGGATGCATTTGAACTCTCAGCATCTATTGAAAGTGCAGGAATGTGGGTCACAAGCCAAGAAAATCTATGTGCACTGAAGAATTCAACAATTGAAACCTTTAAGTAGGTGAGATGCTTAACTGGACACTCGCACATAAGGAAGATTATACAATCTGCAGCTGTGAATGCCAACAATTGTGGATGCAATATCCACAAGATGCAGGAGTTTAAGATCCTGACAGAAGTGAAAAAATGAAGTAGCAGAACAAAAACTGAAGCCTTCTCAAGTTCAGGTTGTTCAGGGAACTGAGGGGTTAGAGAGTAAGAGGGTTCAATAGGCTGGTCAGTCTTCAAGGACAGCTTGCTCAAAACACAAAAATATGCAAGAAACTTAGCAGACTTAGCATATGCCTAGCTTTGGTTGCACAGGGAACTCCTAACTGAGGTCAACAACAAACATTTTATATCACAAGCAAAGTCCGTACCTACAAGTACCTGGGATCAGAAGGATGCATGCAAGAGAGCTGAATGAGTTGTCTCATGTTTACTGATTACTGGAAGGGACAGACGGCACACCATCTTTAAGGTGATGCAGTCAGCCTAAGCTTAGTCCCTTCAGAACTCAGGGACCTATAACTCAAGAAGTTATATAGTACATATCCTCATGAAAGCCATTTCCAAGTGCCTTAAGGCAACCTGAAACAGTTAGCAAGAATTTACCACATGTGTGTTATACCTGAGTATGCTTACTTTTTACGATGACTGACGGCAGAATAGGAGGGAACAGGTGACAACATTTACCTCAAATTTACCAAGTCTCTCATAGCAACTTTCTGTGGACAAGTTATAAGTGGACTCCCTAAGGGAGTAGTACTGTGCAGTCTTCAGCAAGCTTGATGACAGGACAATTCCCAGAATCCCAAAATGGTTGAGGTTGGAATGGACCTCTAGAGATCCTCTAGTCCAACCCTGCTGCTTACACAGGGACACCTAAAGCACAGGGCTGCATCCAAGTGGGTTTTGAAGACCTCCAGAGAAGGAGACTCCAAAAACCTCTCTGGGCAGCCTATTCCAGGGCTCTGTCACCCTCACAGAAAAGAGCTCAAATTCATACATGACAAGTCACAGGAAGCCAACAACAAATCGCGGAGTATGCCTCCCATTCTGAAGGGCTTTAAACTCCAGGAACAGAGTAACAAAACTCATGGGCAATCAGGAGAAATGAAAGAGTGTTAATTTGGATATTAAGTAATCTTTTATAATTCTCCTAGCATCAAACAGCATACCTCAAGTCATCAAAAGAATTTAATTCAGAAGACAAGCAGGCACCAACTATATCAATTTGTCCCTGTGTATCTTCAAGTATTTGAATCAAATTGTCACATAACACCACTGAGATGCCAGGTTCTTCTAGCTTCATGAGTTTATATAAGCCAAGAGAAAGAATATATTACAGTGCAAGTAGCCTGAGAATGAGTGTTCCCTGTATCTAAGATAAGTCTCACATTATCAGTCTTACCTTACCACCCTCCAGGGAAAAGAAAACATAGCAATATACAAATATGTAAGCCTTGCCGCATCTGCTCAGGTCAAGTAAGAAGCAGCTTCAAGTCAACAACAGTATCATCACCTGAAGAGCTCACTCATTATTAAGACAGGTAAGGGAAATTAATCTAAATAGAACAAAAAGAAACAGTGCCAATCCTGGAATACAGATAACAGACAAGATCAGATAAAATCAATAAGACTGAAAGTGCTAAGTCTAGCATTGTAAACCTAAGACGCTCAGTAATGAGGCACCAAATATAAGCACCAACTTCTTGCAGTCTAAGGGCTTCAGAAAGAACTCCACTCATATTAAGTCTCTGATGTTCCACAAAAAGAAAACAATCTTGCAATAATTTTAAGAACAGACTTGACAATACTTGTTCTGTTTATCTCTTCATTATTAATTCTATAGAACAAGATGAGAAGGGTATACGGCTTGTAAATATACTCATCACAGGACTCTGTGGGAACATGTAAATAAGAGTGAACCAATATAAGGAACAATCACAGACTCACCTATAAAGTGAAATATATTGCCAAATCTGTAACTGACCCCTGTTTCTTGAATTATTCCAAGGATCAGTGCAGTACCAACACAATTTGGATAGTTATTACTAGAACTACAGAAACACACTTTATACATGCCCGTTCCTATGCAGAAGCTCATAGGGAAGCTGTTTAAAGAAAGCTTGAGATGCTGTAAACAGTGCAGCATAGTTAGCTTGAGAGCATTATCTTTGACATACAGCTATGGAGGCCTTCACAGGTACAATAATTATATGGAGGTTCCATGGGGTTAGTCAAAAAGCTATCCTACTTAAATGCAAAACAAAAATCAAAAAGCCATCACTGAACCTCTAACAAATCAAGTTTTTCCAAACAAGCCTTCCAAGTGATGTCTATGTTTAAGTAATACAGCTATTTCCTTTTACTTCAGATGAACATCTAGGTATCCTAATCCTTTACATTTAATCTACTCAATTAGCAGACAACATCTAAAGAGACACCTTAGAGCCTTTCTAGAAACATGTGTCTCTCCCCCTGCCCCCCCCAAAAAAAATGATATGTCAAGATAAGTCTTCAAAACATCCAGTAACAGAAATATCAGTACCAACAATGACAATGCATTGAAGGAAGGCAGCGTATTACTGAAAAACACCACACACACACACACACACTTAAGCATAGGCAGTTTATCACATTCTAGGACTGAATCTTCTTCATATGAAGGAAGGCAACTGAAGAAGCAGGATGAATATCACTATAATACAACTAAACTTACACTACGAGGTGGTCCTCGGCGTCGGCCATAATAGCCACGTCGATAGCGGCGGCGATCTGCAGCATAGCGGCTACCTTCCACAGGGACTCCATCTGGACCAGTGACATTAGCTGCTTCTGCACCCTACAAGGCCAAAAAGGCAGTAAGCTAGGAGTTGTGAGTAGAGAAAGACTACACATAGGGAGAATAAAGACAAAGGAAATATGAAAATAACTTTTACACATTAGGTCCAAGTTCCAGATATCTTCCTCTTAAGTTGTGAAGGCATGTCTTATTTTCAACTAGAAAGGTTTGTCATTTGCCACTCTTGAGTGTATATAGAAAAAAATGCAAAAAGTGACAGAAACACCAAAAACTGACAAGAGATCCAAAACCCAAAAAACTCTCAAAAGACAAAAAAAACTCTCAAAAGGAACTGGAGAAAGTTCTGTGAACTTACAGCTTCTTATAGTCCTAAAAGCAGGCTTCAAGAGAAAGAGGTATTCAGGGCAAAATATGCATCACTTCAAGCTTGTGGGCTTGATTATTGGACACAATAATCACTAAATACTCTCTCAAGAAGTGCAGATTCTGGAAACAGTAAGTCTCAACTTTTAACTATACCTTATCTAGAAACACTTCTTAACGAAGACATTGGAGAAAGACTGTATAAACACCACCCACAAGAAATACTTTAGCACAGTGAACAAAATTCCTAGGTACGCATAGAATTCTCTTTGTTACTCCCTGCTAGAGTGATGTTAGCTGTGTTGGACGATGTCTCCAGAGCTTCATAATCTCTTACCTTCTCTCCTTCAACCACATCAAATTCTACAGTTTCTCCATCACCAACACTGCGCAGGTATTTCCGTGGGTTATTCTTCTTTATTGCTGTCTTCATAGACGATACAGGAGAAAAATATTAGTTTTGAGCTTATTCATTCACAGCCCTCTAGATGAAGGACAGATATGGCAAATATACAAGTGTCTCCCATTCCCTACCCCTTCCTTACTCAACCAACATCTATTCCTTTCTCAATACTTATGAGGTTGCAAGTTAACTGTTATTCCAAACTCTCCCTCTCTTCTTAAACAGCTGAAGCACTTCACATGTCTGTATGAATAGAGTTCACACAGATTGCTCGACTTCCTGCATAAAGTATCAAGGTAGCTCTAGATGCAAGCATGATCTGTGCTTTCAATCATCAAAACCTGCAAAACAAAGTCACCTAAGACGAGGAATGTTTTAAAGAAGATACCATTAATTACAAGGTATCACAGCAGTCAGTGAAGAAAAACTGCTATAAATTCAGCATAGCAGAAAGAAGTGTTTTTACCTAAGCACTGTAAGACAGACCAAGAAACTGAGGAACTCCCTAAAGAAGGAAGAGCAATAATACCAGAATAGAACATCTCAAGCTTTAGCCACCTCTTCTAGAAAGAGACCCAAGAAATGGCATTAACATAGATTTGGATCAAAACCAGCTTAAAAATAAAACACCCTTTAGACTCACAGGAACACTGGTTTTCAATCTACAGATCCTACTACTATAGATCCTTAGATCCTTTCCACTCTGATGAGTACTTCTGTGACTCCATCAGAGGTAGTTAGCAAGATAAGCCTATTATCAGCTCATCACGTAAGGGTTCACAAACTTAAAGGCCAGAAGTAGTAATCCCTTATGCAAGTTAGAGTATTTTTTTTTTTGTGAAACACCATTTGGTTATTTAATACTAGTTTGCTTTCAGAGTGTGTTAATATGGCTATATTTATCTAGTACACAGGATATGGATGTCTAAGATCCAGGAAATAAAAGTCATATATGAAATACAACCCATAAATCCAGCTTAAATGACTGTTGTGGTATATGTTGGCAGCTCCAGAAAAATAGGCAGAATGAAGACCAGCTGAATTGCTGCCAATGACAGTTATATTCATTCATCAAGGCAATAATAGTCCAAAAAATATTTCCTAAGATACTGAGGAAGTTAGGAGCAGTTAAGAGCTGAATACCTTTCCTAAACTAGTTTAAGTTCTTACACTGCTGATCAAGGGCCCTTTTGCAGGAAACTAACATGTTCTTTTAGCTCTCTATACCCATGCCATTCTCTGTAACCAGCAATATCCAAAATGGTTCAAGAAAAGAGATGTGCAAAAGCTGTGTACTGCTATTGATGAAAAAAATCAAAGAATTTGTTGATACAGAAAGAGAATGAGCTGCTCAAATTTCTTTGGAAAATAATTCAGCAAGCAAAGACTCCTACCTTTGGCCAATGTTTTGCTTTCTTTACCAGTAATTGTCCTATCTCCTTTTCCATCCCAATCCCCTGTCCAGCAAGGCTTTTGACATCATCCCTCACAACATCCTCCTGGGCAAGCTCCAGGAGTGAGGGACTGATGAGTGGACAGGGAGGTGAATTGAGAACTGGCTGCATGGCAGAGCTCAGACAGTGGTCATCAGTGGTGCTGAGCCCAGTTGGAGGCCTGTAGTTAGCAGTGTCCCCCAGGGATCAGTCCTGGGTCCAGGACTCATCAACAACCTGGATGAAGGGACAGAGTGCCCCCTCAGCAACTTTGCAGATGATACAAAACTGGGAGGAGCAGCCAACAGCCCTGAGGGCTGCGCTGCCATCCAGAGAGACCTGGACAGACTGGACAACTGGGTGGTGAGAAATCTCATGAAGTTGGGTGATTATTTCACTGCTACTTGTATTGAGACAACTGACAAAAGCTGAAGGTTTGTGCTCTACACATGGCAGAGATGACAACAAGCTTCCCCTATCCCTCAAGAATCTTTCTCCTTTACAAGGATGGGGGGGAAGGAAGAGAATCTACTTGGTTTCCTTACAGCAGGGAGCATACTGAAAAAGAATCAAGCTCTTCAAACATCCTCTAAGTACAGCAACAAAAAACAGCTTGATCAAGGCTTAACATGTAGTATTTGAGATCTACAGACAAAACCTTAAAATTTCAGATTTGCAGCAGAATAACCTGTCAATAGGATATAGAACCCATCATATTTGTGGATATTTGTTTTATAAAAACAACTTGAGTTAATCCTAGAATTCTGACCAGAATCTGTTAGAGCTTTACTTCTTCAGTAGAAGGTAAGTGTTACCAAAATAAATCCAAACAATCAGCTTAAAAAAAAAAGCTTTTACACTGTATATCTAGAGGAGATCACTACACACTCCATTACTGTTCATGAGCACACAATAGTCTACAGCTTTTTTTATTCAGCAGACAGATGTTGACAGAGAAACAACTGAAGAATTAAGACATTGCCTTTCCTTTTTCCCCAAAGGACACAGATGCCAAGACAGGGATGGGAAACCACAGCTGGCTCAGTACTCTGCATAGCCAAACTCCTCCTATACCCTCAAAACACCATCCCATCACATAAACATACAGTGCTGTTACAGCAGTGGCAGATACCATTATACCATGTTACTAGTGCACCTCTAGCAGGCTGTGTTATAAACGCTCCTCATGACAAACATGACTCAAACCTGTGCAGCAGCAGACATTAATTTCTCACTACCTGTTGACTCAAATTATGCCCAACTTACTTAGGTTTCTCTGGCTACCTACATAGAGGCTTTTAAAAGTGTTAATTGCAAGATGCTCACACATAGGAACATTCCCTGCCTTGTCAGGAGTAACCAACATAGTGCACTGAACAGCATCTTGCATGAACCAACTCAACAAGAGTACAAGCAAAATGATAGAGGAAGAACCTCACCCTTTCCCAGCCCATTGATGAGCCCCCATCCCCCCCACAAGACAAAGGGTTAACTCAGAGCAGCCATGCATGCTCTAAAGAGCATTCTAATCTGCTCTCTGTTTATAAATAGCACCCAATAGCTGCACATGGTGTGCCAACCCCCATTCTCATCATGAGATCTGCCCGGTCCCCTGCGGCTGGGGACGGGCGCCGCCACTCAACTAGGTCAGCCTCGCTCTGAAGCGATTAGGGCTGTAATCCAAGCCCTCCCCTAGGGCCCCGGGGCGGGGAGGAGGGGCAGCGCCCGCCGTGCGGAACGCTCCGTTAATGGCGGAGGGCAGGGCCGCGTGCGGCAGAACGTTTGCCACGTCACTCTCACGCTGCCGCTCCCTGCCCGGGCGCTCCCCGGCCCGGCTCACCAAGCCCATCTTCGCTGCCCATCGGGAACTTAGCTGCCAGCTCCCAACTTCCATGGCATCCCAAAGGCAAAGAATTCCAGCCAGGCCACCCTGCATATCCCATCCCCTCCTCACAGGTGGTTCACAGCCTCTATAACAAAAACACTGCCAGTGTTCAGGCAGAGCTCTGACAAGGCTCATCCACCCTTCATGTATCTTCCTCTCATCGTTTATGTAACTGCTCTTACCACATGTAGACAATTAGCTTGAGTTGGAATTGTTTAAGAACAACAAAAGCAGTTCATCTAGATTAGAGCCCAAAGTATCTGCTTTGCTATGCAGAACCCATGGACAAGTTTCATCAGATGCCATTTTAAGATGTGGTATTTCTGCAAGATCAGGACAGCACACCTAGCACACACTTATGAGATTATACTGCAGAAGACTGAGGGAAAGGGGAGGAGAGAACTGCCCCCCTCCCCCCACCCACCCCATGTCCCTCTCTCAACAATTTACATGGAGGTAGTTATTAGAACAGCTGAATACAATCCAAGTACAAATATAGCATAATTTTCTGCAGGTCTTCCCTGCCTGAAGGGAAGACTGACCTTCACAGACAGTCTTCTAAAACACAAAAATGCTCATCCATGTCACTTCTTGTTCACCAGTCATTTTCCACAGAGTCTTCTCAAGGGTCACAAGACAACCCGACAACTTTTTTTCTCCTTCAAGGACATCTTACATTTCTGCCTATCAAGTGGGCCGCTAAGGGGCACCCCTCCCACCTTCCTCCAGATCCTCCTATCTCACTCTGGATGTACTCCCATGAGGTTGCAGATTCAGTCCCTCTGATGGGATCCATAAAGCACGTGGGCATTACAAGTGGAAATGAAACTTAAATATTTGCATATATTTCACACTGAGGACTCTTGCACCAAGCGGTATATGCACACCTCCCAACATCTTCAGTTCCTTCACAACTTCATCCATTTTAGCAGTGACAGGTCTACATACCTTTACAGAAGGAAATAGGTGCCACATGCAATGAAGTCACGAACAGCTAGTTTAGTTCCAGTGGCTTAAAATTTATCACCATTTTTAAATGGCATGCACTTTGCCTTCTTGCAACTTTCCTGCTTACATCTGATAGAAATACTGTCACTTACACTACGGAGAAAGCTTGACAGACCTGCAGGGCCCACATGAAATTCTTACATACAGGACAAGCTCCAAAGGCAGTATTTCATTTTCTAGTGAAATGAATTTCTCCAGTGTTGCACATTCAGATTTAAGCCAAGTAGTAAATATCAGTGTGCAGATGACCATCTCTTACTTTCAGCTATCTATATCATGAGCTTCAGAACAGCCTATTAGCAGTTAAAAGTTAATTAATGACTGGCTACTTGGCAATTACTCTGTACTTCTCTGCACACAGCATATAGCCAGCCTTTCCCTCCTCCTTCCTAACAGCAGCTGTTTCATGCAGCAACAGCTGATAGCAATCCAGGCTGGTAAAAATCCAGGCTGGATCACTTTCTTTCCAATACCAGAAGGACAAACGGAAAAGACCTGCAAATGAAAATGGCAAGAAGAAATAGAACAAAAGAGGAGTGCGAGTAAATACGTTCACGAGTTGCGAGAGAGGACAAGGAGAAACAAATAGCAAGGAACTGAGACAGCATAAGTCATCCCCCACAGCCTCTCCAGCCCCACCCCCACCAAGAAAAAAAAAGTGCCAACAACAAAACCAAAAAACCCTACCTGTTCATATCAAACAATAAAGCAGGAAGGGTTCTAATACTTCATCTGCAACTTTGCAGAAGAAATACCCCCAGATTGCTCCTTGAGAAGTTTCCAATACTATTTCTTGTCACAATAGAATGAGCCAATAGCATGAGTGCATGATCCTTTGATATATTTGGGGTAAAAACTCTGAGCATACACCAGCATAAATTGTAATGATTGCTGCATGAAGTTACTAAAAACCCATTATGAACTTTATGCAATATGCTTCGTAAGTTCAATTACTTCTCTTACCTGATGAACAAACACATCTTCTTTGGTATCATTTCTGTGAAAAAGCAAGTGAGAAGCCGTAAGAGTTTAGACTAATGGACTTAAATAGAAATCTTTGACTTCATAAGTAAACCCTCCCTTCCCTCAGTCTGTAGTACAACTCCTGGATACCATAAATTCTCTTTAAGTCTATGCTATCAAGACCCTGCCATAGATTTCAAGGGTCACGTGCTTGATAGCAGAAGTGATTCCCCACTCTTCAGAATGGGGGTCCCTGCACCCTGGACAAACATTCAAGATGCAGTTTTGACACAGGGTAATAACTAAACAGTTTTTCTTTCATACACTCACACACACCCTACCAACTTTCACAGAACCTGCAACCTGAGCTTCCAACATGTTATCCCTGAAGTCAAGAAAGACTATCAACAGGCACAGCACAGCTGTTAACAGAGCTCTTCTTTCAGTGAAACCCAAAACACCACCACTAGAGGTCCTAGAAATGTCCTTTGCAACAGCAACCCAAACATGAACAGCCAATTGGGTTGTCTAGATTATTTGAGCTGCTTCAGGCCTCTGCACGCAGGACTGGAGAATGGATCAAAAAGCTTGATTCTGTGTTCCTATAGAGCAGAAGCTGACTGGACACTCATCTGTTTGATCAATTCACCTCTGCTAATTCTTCCTCTGCAGAAAGAATCAGTTGATTCATGAGGACACTATAAGCTAAAACTGACTGCACAGGACTTACACCGCAGACTGCAATTTGATGACACTACTAGCAGAAGTTATTAAATCCCATCACTTGAAGTGATAGTCTTGATCTGGATATGAAAGACTCAGTATTTCTCCCTAACCTGAAACACTGGACAGCAGTTTCCAGATACTGTAATCAATACTATATCACAACTGTTATCAATTTCCCTAAAGCAGTACTCTATCTGAAGATCTTCCACCATAAATTTTCTCTAACTATTTGGGCATACAACACCCGAGAGTTACCAATATGGACAAATAATAGTTTACCACTAGGTGAATCTTCAGTACCATTCAGATGTTTGTATCAACACACAGACACATGTTTTGTTAACTCCAGAAAAATCTTCAGTTAGCAGTGGAGAATCGCTATTTAGTAGTCAGTTCAAAGCAGTTCCCTTTATCTTCCAACCTTATTTGCAGCTTCAAAAAAGTAGACGTAGACCTCATAAAACTTGTTTCTCATGTTTACTTATCCTACACTTCTACAAAGAGGCTCAAACACGCAGCAGAATTACTTTGCCATTTTCTTCCCTTGCCTTTTTTGTGGGGAAAGGTTCAGATGTCTACATTCCAAGACATCTGAATTTTGAGTGTCTGGTGACTGCTAAGCTTTACTTGTATGAACTTTTTAGGTATTAGATCTCTGACAACTATCTCTGATAACTGGTGATGCATGGTATTTAATCTTTGCTAAGTCTTAGTGAAGTATGAATATATCAGTTTGCACATACCTGTTGATAAAGCCATATCCATTTCTGACATTGAACCATTTGACAGTGCCAAGAACTTTAGTGGCTGGAAAGAAAAAGTTAAAATTACTCCAAAACATAGGGAAATGCAAGATTTTTAACAAAAAAAATAACAAAACAAAATCCCTTATACTTGCAGATAAACAAAACACCGTTTCTGTTCGCTTCACACAGAAGGTGTACTTATTTGCATTTCACTTTATATCAAGGTAGCAGTGCTTGAACTTTGTTGTTGTTTATCTTTTTTGTAACATTTAACATTTTGTAATATATGTAAACATACAGCTCATGTTATTTTATTAGATATAATCATATCATGTTTTTATAGATGTTCAAGCATAAACATTTATGTTTAACTAAGGACAGCATGTTTACCATGCAACACCTAGAATAAACTCCAGCTGTATCTCCAAAACCATTTCCCCTCCTCACTATTCTACTTCTTATCTCAGCAAAAAGTAAATAAGCTCCCTCACCCATTGCCATTCAATAGTTTGCAAAACAGATGTTAAAGAGCTGAAGTATGCTGTTTAAAATTCCTCCATCCTTCTTTTATAGACTAAGGAAAATCATACACAGACCATGCAGCTCTAATGGAGAGGCAGAAGGTCCTTATTTCTAAAGCTAGATTTGTTGCATTACTGTTATCCTCACTAACCAGAGGGCCCAACAATCATTTCTACTACTGGACACTTTCCACAATTTATATCAGTTATGGTAGGGACCAGCTTTGTTTCCAAAGCTTATAGGATCCAGAAAAGCTCCCATTTGTCACATTATACCCAAACAATATCTTGCATACAAGCCATACTGTACATCTTAAAAGATCTGGTGAAACCTGTTCATCCAACATACAGTATGCATGGGAAGAACCCAACTCCTCTCCCTTTCAGGAACTGGGTGGAGACTGCTGACTCACATTTGCCAGATCTGGAAAATTTGGGAGTCTGTTTTAATAGATATATTACACAGTATGATAACAATCACTTGCACAATCCATGCAGTATTTACCTGAAAAGGGTCTACTAGACAAACAAAAAACAAAAAAAAACCTCCCACACCACCACACACACACACTATTAAAAAGTATTAGGAGTGAGGCAGGCACAAAAGAAAACTTAATTGGGGTGGAGGAGGAAGAGAATCTAGGAAGACTCCAGAGTTCCCTAACCCACAGCTTGCTGGAGACAAGAGGCATGTACTGCAAAGTATCATCTGTTCTACATATGTCTTCTTCCCTAAGCTTTGACCTCTTGAAGTCTTGCCATTCTTATACTTCAGCTGAATGAAAGTATAAAAAATATTCAACAGAAAGTAAAAGAATCTACCAGATTTGGTTTTGCCATAAATTATTTAAAATGAAAGGCCACTTTTCATTACAATTTCACAAATGCTTTTGCCTTTCTTGAAGAAGATTCTCCAGCAGAAAGTGGAACAACAAAACCACACACATGTTCCACAGCCTAACATTGATTCAGTAGCAGTCACTGCCTAAAAGAATAAACACTGGTGCTGAAGGTTTGACTTTATGGAAGAATCAGTAAGTACAAACAGAAGCTCACTGCTCTCACTCAGGCACCAACTACAGACTCACAATGCTCACAGCATTGGACAAGACAACAAGGAAAGAAAGGGAAAGAGGGGAGCATTAGTGGCCACACAGGTTTTAGGAGAACTGATTCTTAAAAAAATAAGCCTAACACCATTTCTTTTCTGCCCCCTTCAAAGTAGCTATTAAAGCCACTGGCTTATTTCAGTCAGCCTGAGAGGGTGAGAAGCACAGCAAGTCTGCTGTAAAAGTACCATTTTCCTAAATCACCAACTGTTGAAAAGAAAGATGATCAAAGCTCACCATACAAGATCAGCTGCCTACTGATAAACCGAAGTATACACACACAGCTTAAGAAATAGCTCGAGGAAAATACTGCTCCTTGCCTATAAGCTGTCAGAAACCATCGAGCAGCTTCCAGGATAGTCTTTAAGATAGCACACTGGGGAAACCATTCTGTATCAGTGCTGCTCTTGCACTCTCTTGTAAGTGCTAGCACCATGTCTGACAGCAGCATTATAGTTCACTGTGACATGATTGTAACACAGATACTGTTCAGCCTGAACTGTCATAACGAGATCAGACAAGGTGAAAGAATAAGCCTAGAGGAAGTCAAAACTAGTTTTAATGAGAACTCAAAGAAGGTAGTTGAAGTACGACTCCTTTTTCTTTTAGGACAGAGGCCACATTTCTGCAAGACACTCTATTACTAGAAGTGATGAGCAATTCCAGCTCATGCAAAACTAGCTTTAGTTTCAAAAGTTTCTGAAGGACAAAACCAAGCTTTTTTGATTTTGCTGACCACACAGAAGACTAAGTAGCCTTAATTCTTACTCCCAGAAGACAGATACTTAGATGACTTAAAAACAGTTCTGGTGCCTCCCCCCCCCCCCCCCTTTTTTTTTGGAGACTTGAGTATCTAATCATTAGATTCTTAACAGAAATATTTGAGAGCAACTTGAGAACTTTACAGTGAGCATTATCATCAAATCACTTTCTCTGCTAAAAAGCTGAAAAGCTAAACAATAGTTAGGCCGCTTAGCAAAACTACTAGCATAGAATATTTTGGACTAAAAAGCCAAAAGCACAGATGCCCCTTTCCTCAACTAGGAAGCAAGGGCAAAGGCCTAAGCCAGCCTGGCAGGTGACCTGAAGAGACCATTCACATAAATAAAGCTAGTCAAGAAAGTCAAACAAATGGCCAGGTGCCCCAAGAGCTGCAGAAATACCCTGACTGATTACTTGCAGTTACTGACAAACTAGACAGACAAGTTATAGCTTCTAATTTCTCTTCCTACCTCAGCTCCAGTGGAATCCTTACCTGCTCCTGTTAATCTGCTGTAGTCAAACCTCAAGTCTTTCTCTTCAGAGTTAAAAATGCTGCCTTTCCTTAGTGAAGTTCAGGACTTTGCACTAGCTGTCAGCCCCACTTTAGTAATAAAGCTGCATGACTGAAAGAGATTAAGCAGCAGATTCCTATTTCCACTACAATAACTTCACTATGGACCAAAGTCTTGCCCTTTTCAGCTCATTGATCCTGTTTAATCACAACAAAAAGAACTTGAAATCCACTGGACTCGAGTACAGAGATAACAACTTGACATTCAATCTATATCTTCTCTCAACAGAGCAGAAACTCATCAGTGTTCTTGGCTGCATATGCAGCTTACCAGCGGCCATTACCAAGGCAGGAGCCCCTGAGCTTCACCAGCTACCAGAGCTCTCGGACGCGAGCTGGGAGCAGGTGCCACCGCCGAGACCGGTGTCAACAGCCACCTAACATGGCTGCTGCAGACTCGCACTCCGCTCTACCCGCGCCTGCTCCAACTGCCGACCGGCACCCGTCGAGCCCCGCAAGGGACCAGGGACTGGCGAGAGCCGCCCGCTGCACCGCCCTGGCCACCACCAAGCACCGACCACGATCCGCCCCCTCGCCCCCTCTCCCCCTCTGCCGCCACCAGCTTCTGGCCCCGTCTGACACTGGCGTTCCGGCAGGGCGACGCTCCGCGGGCGTTTCCCCTCGGCCTCAGGGAGGGGCGCGCGGCCTTCTCCTCTGAGGAGCGCCTGCCTCCTTGCCGGAGGAGAGGCTGCGAGGGGCGACTGCGAAGGGCTGCCCGCAACAAGAGGACAGTATATCCCCAACTGTGTTCCGCAAGCTCCGAGGGCGGCGCCATCACCACGTGTTGGCCCCGCACCCGCCCCACGGGCCCGGTCCCGGAGAAAGTTGGGCAGAGGGCCCGCCGGACACTCACCAAGCACTTTCTTCTCCGTCTCTGCGGTGGTGGTGGCAGCAGCACCTGGATTCGGCTCCACACTCGCTTCGCCCGCCGCGACGGCGCTAACGGGGCTCTTGGGCTTGGTGTCCGCGGCAGCAGGCGGGGGCGGCGGTGCTGGTGCTGCTGCTGCTGTCGGCGCGGCGGGAGGCGCCAGGCTGACGGTAGTGGTCTCGGCCGCTTCGCTCATGGTGGCAGACGAGATGGTACGCAACACCCACTGATGTCTCTCGAGCCCCGCGCTGGGTCTTACTGCCCCCAAAATGGCCCCGCCGAAGTTTTAACACAGTCAGCCTGGGCCGGGGCTCGCGCCGCCTCATTACCATTTAAAGGGGCCGCGCCTCTATAGCGGGACGGCCTCAGCGGCGGGGTAGAGGGGCCGCACGGGAGGATAGAAGGGGCGTGCGTGGAAGTAGATCTGCCTGCTGTGTTTTGGGGCACGCGTAGTCGTGTGCCGCGTCTGCCAGACTACGTGTGCCGTAGTCTGCGCACCGGTGTTCATGTGGTGCATTTGTGTGAAGAAGTGTATGTGTGGACATCCCAGCGACTGCTCTGTCTTGTCCGTGTCTGCCAGTCCATCTAGCTCCTCTTACCACAACCACATCACATTTTTTAATTGTCTCTTCCCTGTTCAATCTGCCCTTTCCCATGACACAGAAGATGGAACTTAAGTTTTGTGCACTGGGAACTTGTTGATTGCTCTCTGTCCTCAGTTCGTGAGGTCTAGCTCAGATGAAGATTACTAAGACTTTAGCCCGCTTTCTCACTTTTCTCTGCACACCCGAACACTCAACAAAAGAGTGTGAAGCCTTGTTTGTTTTTTTTTTTTCTGTCTCCTCCACATGTCCATTTCTCCACAACTCCTGGGTAGCTCTTAAATCACTTCTGACTGAAATCACTGAAGATCACTTGTGTCAATTCCAGATGTACTCCAAAGGATTCTCAGATTAAGTGTTCCCAGGTTGGGTATGCCTTAATTGTAGATATAAACCGCACATGGTTTCACCCACTGATGCTCTAAAACTCTTGAACTCAGTTTGGCAGATGTTAGCGCCAAGGTTTACAATTCTGTAGCTCAGACACTCCCACAACTGCCAACAGGCTAAAACACACGTACTGCAGAAGCTGATAATAAACTAGTGAGCTGTTTTGAAAGAATGTTTTCAAAGTCTTCAGAGGTATTACCTCTGAAGCACAGACATCAGTGCTCCCACTTCAATTATTTGCTTCTGCTTTTAGATCCTAGATGAATATTTTTATTATAGTTTTCCATATTGTGCTCCATAGGGTGCAATACACATATGAAACCGACATAATTTTTGTCTTCTATATTTTTTGATCATCACTTTTTTATTATTAATGAAATACTATTTACATACTTTAAAAAATTATGCTATTTTATGACTTCTTACCATTTTCAGTGTATATTAGAACTTTCATGAGGATGATCATTTTGACTGAATTTTGGGAGGAAGAATTACTATGCTAAATCAAATACTTTAGCAAAATTCAGATACAGACATGTGCACTTAGACATTAATGTTGTATTCAATGGAGTTGTCAATGTCTTTTTTTCCTCCTCATATTAATTTTGAGGTTTTAATTGGAAAGACTATTGAACAAACTGTACAGTTTATAAGCTGTGGGGTATGTACTATACTTTATTTCATTCTTTTGTACAAATTTGGCAATATGGTCATTTCCAAACTAATTTTCTGTTCCTTGTTGACTATTGATAACATATTTCCTTTTCTTCAGTCTTCCACCTATTTTCAAAAATTATAATGAAAGAAATTAGTCTGCTAGCTTGGCTAATAAACATTTTTACCTCTGATTTGTGGAGATTAATTTCTACATCCCAACATTTTGCGAACACTTTCTATCAACTAAGTTGTAAATAATTATTTTATAAGGTTTAGAGGAGAAGCGAGTGAACAGTTTGCAGAAAATGCATTATTTTTAGAAAAAAATTTAACCATTTCTAAAAATTGTTTTGAGGCTCTCAATTAATAGATGCATATTACATCAACAACTTTATTCCAACATTACAGGTAGTGCAAACACCAGTCCAGCATGTAGATTTTAAGTTGTTTATAACCTGGCCAAACTCTGAGAGTTAGGGTTAACTTTGTGCTTTTTTTTGGAGGGGGTAAGTTGAGCAGAAGATATTTAGATATTTTCTGAAATTAAATGAGGAAAAAATATTCTCCCACATTTGAATTTGGTTTAGGACTTAGCTTTATAAATTACAGTGATCTCTATGCCTTTAAACAGAAAGCTGAAACATAGCAGTTAGAGGTGCACATTTTATATTTCTTACTTGGGAGAACAGAAACCCTACCTGCTCTCAAAACTCTAGAAAACAAATTCCATGAAGCAATGAAGATGTGAAAAAAATGTCTTTAGCACATGTTCAGCAGGTATTTGCAAGAGTTCAAATGAAAAATTATTGGCAGATATCCCAGGGAAGTGGCGCTGAGTATGCTGCAGCTCTTGCTGTGTATGCTACACGTATGTTGTTCTTGCACCCATGGCAAAACACTTGTCTGGGAGTGCAGAGTAGAGAATTCTTGCAGTAGTGTCTCTTCTTTGGGATCCTCTGGGGCATTTACTATGCTAATTCTGGCAGATGTCTTGAATGTATGTGTATTTCTTTTCCAGAGATTTTGCTGTTTTCTACAAGCTGTGTGGTACATTAGATATCTGCATGAAGTTGGGACATGCCACAAAAGAACATGGGAAATGTATATCCACCAGCTGAAGGCCAGGCAAGATACCCTAAGGCATCCTAAGTCTCATTACACACCTATAATTAAGCAACTAGTATCTTTTAGTCTGAGAGTAGGTTGAAAGATCTTGACCAATGTATGGTTTAGACTCCTGTGCCAATCCAGCATAGAAGGAAGTGTCCCCTGATGCCTACTTTATTAACCTGGCCTTTTTGGTCATGTGGGGTTTGAACAACATCTTTTCTCTTGCTGTTTCCCACCAGTAAGCATAGGTTTTCATTCATCATATCCTGTGAATAACACTCCTTTGATGCTCAGCATGGGCAGCCTAGGCAATCTATCTCAATCTCCTGGAATTCATGGGCACCTCTAATAAGATCAAGCAGCTCCTAACAAGTTAAATGCAATGTAATATATGCAAGTAGCCATTATTCAGTGTGATCTTTTTTTTACAATCTTGAGTTATAAATCTCTGGAGGTCTGCAAAAATGTGAAAGTCTATGCTTTCATTTCTTAATAACCAAGTTGCTTACTCCATGCTGGCAGTGAAGAAGAGCCTGAAAAACACTGTTTAAGACTTATATACCAGAAAAAAAAAAGATGAAAGGTAAAATTCATAATTATTTTATACATTTCATATTTTTAAGTTAAAATATGTGAATTTTGAGTGCTGGGAATTGGCAGTATTATGTTATAAGAATTTCAGATTAGATAGGTGGGGCGTATTTGATCTGTATAGATGCAGATAGATAACTTTTATAGATAATATAGATAACCTTTCTACTTGCCTTTGGCTCTACTGAGAAAACAGCAGTTCTGAAGATTTTACCCAGAATATAATGTGCAAAGTAGCTGCATGCAACTGTTTATAACAGGACTCACTGATCCAGTAGCCTAGTATGAACAGCAGATTGAACTAATAGAAGGCTTTATAGTTTAAAAAAAAAAGGTTAACTGAAACTGAAATAATTTGCAGCTACAAATTCTTTAATGTATTTATTGGAAAAATCAGAAGTCTTCCTTCAATAAAGTGGAAGGCTCTATTTCAAACAACGGAAGAAAGTAACATTTCAATCCATCATTTCCAAATGTTCTTTTTATACTGAAATTATTTTATAAATACAGAATTAATTATTAATTTTTTAAAAAAGTACAATAAACTTGATATTTCTGGAGCTGTATTTTATAAAATGCAGAAATTTAGCTATGCTCATTTTTTGTTGCAATTTGGTAAAGGAAAATTATTCAAAGCTGTAGAATATCCTATAAAATGAAAAAATATTAAATACATCATATTTTATGCTTTCTACAGCTTTTTCTGAAGTAACATCCTTAATCTGGAGATGAAGGCAACCTACTAACATTTTGCAAAATTCAATTGTTCCATAAGCAAGGAAGTCATTATTTTCTTCTTCTTTAACAAATCTTTGTCTTGGCTCCTTCCTCCACTGATCCAGACAAAGTGTCTTACAGTGTCTTATGGTTAATGTGATATAAGATTAAAGTAGAATAAGACATGTTTTTCTATTAAGGTAAAATACCTGGAAGAACCCTATGCAGATAAGAGATCTTCCAACTAGAGCATTAATTGTGTAGCAACATTGACATCATCATGATTCTGACTTTGTTTATTTACCATTTAAATAAGATTGTATTAAAGCCAGCTGTTGACCCTATGTGGAAATGAAAAGGAACAAAATGTCTGTATTTGCAAAGGACTTTGCACATTATATTTGTGCTACTGTGACAAATATAGACCATTGTACCTAAATTTCAGCTCAGCAAACTTCCTCAGCCATGTACATATTCCACAAACCACACATTCATATATTCTACTACACACACATCACAGAGATCACACACACAGAGAACCAGACCCAACACATCCTTTCTTAGATCACAGATGAATGTGAATTTGCCTGCATTACAAAACAAAAACTCAGACTGGCAGGATTCCTTCTCACAGTTCTTGCTTAGTCATAGAAGTCAAGGCTAATCTGCAAGTAATCAGCGGAGATTTGCTGCAAGACTTAGATGGACTAACAGGGGAAATTCTGGATCAAATCTCACGTAGAAGGTTATCATAAGAATCTCAGCTCAGTACAGCAGCCAGAAGGTTTGAAATGAGAAAGTATTTGAGAGTTTAGCTCCAGAAGTGTGGTCTGGACGAGTGCACAGTGAGGTGGATAGAGAGCTGACTGGATGGCAGAGCTTAGAGGGTGTGATAAATGGGGTCGAGTCCAGTTAGAGGTCTGTGGCCAGTGGTGTCCCCCGGGGGTCAGTATTGGGCCCGGTGCTGTTCAACCTGTTCATCAATGACTTGAACAAGGGCACAGAGTGCACCCTGAGCAAGTTTGCGGATGATACCAAGCTGAGTTGAGTGGCCAACACTCTGGAGGGCTGTGCTGCCATTCAAAGGAACCTGGACAGGCTGGAGAGTTGGGTAGAGAGGAACCTCATGAGGTTCAACATGGAC